AACAACACCCGACTCAGCGATGAAGCAAAGATCGCCTTCACTGTAGCGTTGATGAGGAAGGACCTAGGGAAGACATGGGCAGACGCATACTACGAGAAGTCGGCAGGGGGAGTCCAGGTCTATCCCGATTGGGCAGCCTTCGCCACTGCCCTTGAGGAAGTGTTTCCCGAGCACGGAATGCGAATCAAGGCGCACCAAATCCTGATGAAGCTGCCCGAACGACAGAAGAACAAGAAGACGGCGCTCTCCCTCGGAAACTATGTCACCCGCTTTGAGCAGCTAGCATCGAAAGCCCAGCTCAAGGACGCCGAAGTCAATGGCGTCAACCGCACCGAGAACGACTACCACACTCTCCATGCCAACTTCGTCAAAGGACTTCCGAAGGAGCTCTACGTCTCTCTCGCAACTAGGGTCGCTAGAGACCGACCCAACACCATGAAAGCCTGGTACGATGAAGTCCGAAATGCCGACGCCGCCGAACAAGGGGCCCTCACCGTCACAGACACCAGGGACTACGGCGAGCCAATGGATATCGACGCCGCTGCAGTCGCGGCAACCTTTGCCTCCACATCGGGAGGAAGGAAGTGGGAACTAGGAGCCGTTCTCAATGAGGCCGACCGGAAGCTCCACAGGGACGGAAACCTGTGCTTCTACTGCCACATCAAGGGCCACAGCGCCAAGGATTGCCGCAAGAAAGCGGCCGCACGACAAGGAGGTGGAAGGCCGAACCAGGGAGGATCTGGAAAGGACGACTTCCGCGCCAGAATCAAGACACTCTCCGCTGACGAAAAGCGGGAGCTGTACGAAGAACTCACGATGGAGGATTTTTAAAAGGGCAGGGTGAGCCAACGCAACCACTGCCCGTATCCGTTTCACTGTCCCGTGTAATTTTAGTAGTCCGAAATGAACGCGCTCTGCACATTCCGATTACTGTGGGACGAAAAGACGTCGAGGCGCGCGCTTTCATCGATAGCGGCGCAACAGGAATCTTCATCAGCCCGAGATTTGTCCGAGAGCATCGACTTCGGACAGAGCCCCTTCCCCGACCCATCCCCGTCTTCAACGTGGATGGAACTCCGAACAAGGAAGCACTCATCACGCGAAGAGCCCTCTTATCTTACAAGATAAGCGGAGAACCCCGATTTGTCAAAGCCTACGTCGCCAGCATCGGCAAAGAAGACATCATCTTCGGCCATACCTGGCTCAAGCTCGAAAACCCCAAGATAGACTGGAAGACTGGACGAGTTGAGCTAAACCACCGGTGGACGAAAGACGAGACCAGGGCCTGGAAGATGGACCTGTACCAAAGGCGAGTGGCTCGGCTAGAACTGAAGAAGGCC